GTAATAAATTTCATTTTTCATTTATTCTACAACTGTTAATAACAAAAACGATAAATAATATTTTCATGCACCTACATAAACTAATGTATTAAAAATTAAGGTCGGAAATTAAAAAAAAGAATTATTTTGTTCTTACCTCTCTCTCAGATCTATGACATCAACTTTAATTCCCTTAGCTGACCCTGACCTAGTGATATTGGTCACAAACTCGAACGTTAAACACGAACTAACCGGAAGTGAATATTCAACAAGGAAACAGCAATGTCAGCAGGCCGCCCTTCTACTTAAAAAGCTCAGTTTAAGGGACGCCACCCTCGCCGATATCGACTGTATGAAAATAAAATTAATATATTTTACAGTCGAGTCAAATCAGGAAGGCAAAGTCCTTAATAAATTATCGCATTTCAGAGGTGGAAAAGTAGTGAAATACCTGTCACATTCTTATTCAAATAGTTTATTGCGGGCTTCGCCTTCCGAACTTGACCCGACTATAAAAATGAAACTCACACACTCAATTTGTTTTGTTTGTGATAAATTATTTAAGACACGTTTAAAAGAAAAGGAACAAGATATAGTGAAGTAGCTTTCTCTCCCTCTCAGTCAAATAAATTATTGCCGACTTCGCCTTCCGAAACTGACTCAGCTAGAAAACTTAAATTCATGGTCTCAATTTGTTTTGTTTGTATTAAATAATTGAATTAAGAGATAAATTTAATTAGCATGAGGGACGAAACGATGTGGCGAAGTACCTTTCGCTCCGTCTCGATCAAACAATTTATTGCACACTTCGCCTTCCGAAACTGACCCAACCACAAATATAAAACTCATCACACTCTAAATTTATTTTACTTGAAATAAATTGCACTACAAGGCAGCTAAGTTTTAATATCGTAAGATGCAAATAATTTATTGTGGACTTCGCCTTCCGAAACTGACCCGACCACAACAATAAAACTCATCACTTTCTTTTTTTTTTGCTTTTGATAAATTATTGCACTAGAAGACAGCTAAGTTTAAACATCGTAAAATGCAATACAAAGTAGTAAATAGTTTTCTTTCAGTCAAATAAATAATTTTTGTGGACTTCGCCTTCCGAATTTGACCAACTACAAAAATAAACTCACAGTGATTAACTTGCTTTACAGATCTGAAGTCGATAGGAACAGATGAAGAAATTGTGAAGCGAATTCGTCACGTCGTCACGGAGATCGAAAGAACCGTTCAGGCCGCAGAAGCCCTCAAAGAGAAAGATTTCGTAAAATTCGGAAAATTAATGGTACAAAGTCACAACTCTTTGAGGGACGATTACGAAGTGTCTTGTCCCGAATTGGATACTTTGGTTGAATTGGCACTACAAGTGGATGGAGTTTTGGGAAGCAGGATGACCGGGGGTGGTTTTGGGGGCTGTACAGTTACATTGGTAAGAAAACTACAAAAAAAGGATTGTTGCACTTGTACAAGTAATAATAGTAATAAATGTAGACGAGACTTGGAAGCAAAATATTTATACATTCCATAAATTAAAAAGAAAAATAATTTGCAACAAAATATTTACTTTATTATTTAATATTTGCTATTAGATTATATGAAAAAAAGAATATTTTTTTATTTACAGGCTTACAAAAACGCTGTTGATGAAGTTATCCGTAATATTACAAAAAAATTTAAAGGAAAACCAACATTCTATATTTGTACTCCTAGAGATGGTGCCAAAATCCTCAGCTTGTAAAAAAAGGACAAAATTGTAGAAATATTGATGACAATATCGGGTAGGAACCTATTTTCCAATACAATAGCTAATACGTTTTGTACATAAATTAAATAAACATTAAATAAATCAAGTAAATGTAATAAATAAAACAATCGACTCTGCTTCTTTTTTGTGTGGTTATGTTTTTTGTCGTTTGTCTCCACGTGCAAGTAGGTATTAGGCGCATACACTATAAAAACAATTTTATTCATTCAATTATAACTTTCCAACTTTAAAAAAATGTTTCCATTTCAGGTTTTCATTTCAATTTCAAACTTAATAAAAAATTTAAATAAAGCGCTAAAAAGAATGGCCATTTTGAAAATTCAAACAGAAGCTTCACGCCTACTTTCATTAACATTTAATCGGGTCCCAAGTTTTGAAACTATCGCAAGTAATCATTTTAATTTCCTTATAATTTATTTTAGTCTATTAAAATAAATTGCTTAGTGTTAAATGTTACTGTCACGATATTCGTACCCCTTTGTTCGGTTATTAATGTTTAAATTATTTCGTATTATGTAATATGCAGTTTTATCTTTATATTGCACGTAGGAAATGCACCACATCATAATAAACGTCTATCAATTCAATAGAAATTCTTTATAGCTGGTTATTACTTACCTGATAATACGTTACATAATACTTAAGTAAATTAATACTGTTTCTTATTACTTACGTAGTAATGATTAATATTATTAGAATAAAAGAGACTACCGAGATTGGCCTGCAATTAGAGGTGTTCATGTGCTCATGTCTCCTCAATGATATGAGCCAATGTCACCCTGAACCATTACCTCTCAGTAATAGTGAGTCCGAAGATAATAATTATAATGATANTCAATTCAATAGAAATTCTTTATAGCTGGTTATTACTTACCTGATAATACGTTACATAATACTTAAGTAAATTAATACTGTTTCTTATTACTTACTTTTTGTAACCAAATCACCTGAAACATTAGACAATCAACTAAAACAATTTTATATCCTTAACTGAATATTTTTACAATAGTAATACAAATTGAATAAAACTTTTTTAGACCTTTTTAACGTAAAAAAACTAAATACGGATTTATTTTACGCAATAAAAAGTCTTATATGAACGTAAGATTTGACTCAAGTTACTGAAATTTCCTTATCATTAATTTTATTTATAGTTTCAAGTTAATTCTTATGTCAAAATATATTCACCGATAGTAAAAAAATTTACGATTATCTAGTGAATAATAATAATCAGATCAACTATTTAGTGAGCGTTATCTACACTTAAGAAATAAAAGATAAAAATGATACAGATGTTTTCGTTCAGAATAAAATGAATGAATGAATGAAAGCCTAAGCCAACCCGTAATTCAACAAAAATTGATCGATTTACATTTTGCGTATCAATTTTCAGTGTTAGAACTATAAGTACCACACAAATACACTGATAAAGGATTGATAATTGCAGGCCCTTCCTCTCGTTACGGTAATTGTAGGAAGTCAAATACCTGGAGAAGAATCCGTTATTTTAACAACAAATGAAGCAGTAGATCCACCTTTAAAGGTTCAAATTGAAATGCCCAATAAGAATGCTTTAGTCAAAGTCATTCCACGTGGAAAACCAAAATGGGCCAATTACGTAAGAGGTATTAAAAAAAAAAAACATAAAATAAAATTATCTACGTATTAGATAGAACAGCTTATATAAAATGAATAAACAATTACGCAAGCTTGTCCAAAACACAAAAAAAAATATTTAAATACAAATATAGAAACATTTATTAAGTACGTAATATTTAAATATAAATAAAATACTGTTTCAAAAAAATACAAATATAAATCTTTAAGAAGTATTTCAAATACTGAAATAAATATTGCAGTTTACAAATTAGTTATATTTTAAAAATGAAGTTCAAAAATCACTATTAGCACTGTTTAGTGAATGTTTCAGAAGTGGGCAAACTTTAGCGTTCTTAAGAAAATGGTTGGTCAATGCCAATATTGGCTGATTACCAATCTTGGCCCAGAAATCTGCTTTAGCATCCTTAATGTATATCTCTACATTGCTTTGTAACACCAGTACCTATTTCAGTATAGTAACAGTTTTGATCAAAAACAAAACATTAACAATCTTTAGTATATGGTCTAGAACCATTTTTAGTTCTGGACCAACCTTAGCACTATTATGTGAATTTAATTTAATTTTTAGTGCAGTTGGTAATATTCACAAAACTATACAAAATTTGACAATACTCTGGTCACTAAACAGTGCTATCAATTGATTAAATAAGAGTGCTATAACTATCTATTTGGGAACGGCTACAGTTTAGTAGTTAACTGGTCGGTAAAATAATAAATAAATCTCAAAGCAATCGGAGCTTACAAAATGTCTCTGTGCTTTTAACACTACCCATGGATGGTCCTAGACCCAAATATTTACTTTAAAACCCTTTAGTAAACATCACTACAGTGCTATTGCTTCACCAATCAGCTAAGTAACAATTCTGATTCAAAAATTAATCACCATTAGCACTCTCTAGGAAGTGATCTATAACCATCTTTAGTTTTAGGCCAATTATAGCACTCTGTAAATTTAATTTGATTCTTAATACAGTTGGTAATTAAATAAGGGTGCCATAACTATTTCTTCAAAAACATCTACAGTGAAGTTGCTAACTATTCGGTAATATAACAAATTAATCTCAAATCAATCAGAACAACTTTAGCATTCTGAAGTAAATTTAATTTGATTCATAATACAGTTGGTTATATAATAGTAACAATTTTGATCCAAAAATCACTATTAACACTCTCTAGCAAATGGTCTACAGCCATCCTTGGTTCTAGACCAACTTTAGCATTCTTAAGTGAGTTCAATTTGATTCATAATACAGTTGGTTATATAAAAGTAACAATTTTGATCAAAAAATCACTATTAACACTCTCTAGCAAATAGTCTGGAACTATCCTTAGTTCTGGACTAACTTAAGCATTCTTAAGTAAGTTTAATTTGTTTCTTAATGCAGTTGGTTATATTATAGTAAAAAATTCGATTCAAAAATCACTATTAGCACTCTCTAGCAAATAGTCTAGAACCATTCTTAGTTCTAGACCAACTTTAGCATACTTAAGTAAGTTTAATTTGTTTCTTAATGCAGTTTGTTATATTCTAGTAACAATTTTGATCCAAAAATCACTATTAACACTCTCTAGCAAATGGTCTGGAACTATCCTTAGTTCTAGACCAACTTTAGCATACTTAAGTAAGTTTAATTTGTTTCTTAATGCAGTTTGTTATATTCTAGTAACAATTTTGATCCAAAAATCACTATTAACACTCTCTAGCAAATGGTCTGGAACTATCCTTAGTTCTAGACCAACTTTAGCATACTTAAGTAAGTTTAATTTGTTTCTTAATGCAGTTTGTTATATTCTAGTAACAATTTTGATCTAAAAATTACTATTAACACTCTCTAGCAAATAGTCTGGAACTATCCTTAGTTATGGACCAACTTAAGCATTCTTAAGTAAGTTTAATTTAATTCTTAGTACAGTTGGTTATATTATAGTAACAATTATGATACAAAAATCACTATTAACACTCTCTAGCAAATAGTATAGAACTATCCTTAGTTCTGGACCAACTTAAGCATTCTTAAGTAAGTTTAATTTGTTTCTTAATGCAGTTGGTTATATTATAATAACAATCTTGATCAAAAATTGTCACTCTCTGGTGGACGGTCCAGAACTGTTTAACACCGGACCAACTTTAGTTAAGTAAAACTTTGATTTTTAGTGTAGTTAGTAATCTTTACCAACTGTACCAATTGTGGCAGTGTTCTGGTCACTAAAGAATTGCCAACAATAAATAAAATAAGGGTGCTTTAGCCATCTGTATCATCATTATAAATTAATCTCAAAGCAATCAGAACAAGATGACACTGTGTATTTAACATCGCCTACCAGCGTTGACTGACTACCCAGAAATCTACTTTAGCACACTATTAGTGAATATCACTATAGTGGTTGCTTCACCAGTACGTGTGTCCACATAGTAACAATTTCGATTCAAAAACCATCATTCGCCCATTCTATGTAAATGGTGTATAACCATCTTTAGTTATGGGCCATCTTTAGCACTCTTAAGTAAATTTGATTTGATTTCTATTGCAATTAGTAGTAGGTCTACTTTAGCACTCTTTAGTAATTTAATTTTTAACAACAAACCAAACGTACTTTAACTGTTTATAGTTAAACAACATTATTCCTTCTGTCATCAGCTTAAATGTTATCAATTTACAAATAAAATTAACAATAAATTTCAAAGGCATTTGACACTATTTAGCATATACAGTTTTTTTAATCATTAGTATCAGTGTTGTGCCAACGTTTGCACATTTTTATGAATAGTATCTACTTTATTGAGTTTTCTGCTAACTTTAGGACTACTTAGTAAGCTGACTGTTAATATTTTAATACCATTAATACGATTGCAGTTTAGCCATATTGTGTTTCAGGAGTAATTTCCAAATACAAGGGTAATTTACCATCATTCCAAGCAGTTATTGCAACAAGTGTGCCAACGGGTGGAGGACTATCTAGTAGCGCGTCTTTTGAGGTAGCAACATACACTTTTTTAGATGCTTTAAATGGAAATAGTTCAGTGTCGTAAGTTCATAAATTTAAACAAATTTTAGAAACGATATTTTGATGTAATGTTTTGTGACATAGTCCTATAGAAAAAGCATTAATTTGCCAAAAAGCTGAACACGACTTCGCAGATGTACCATGTGGCGTCATGGATCAATTTATTTCCGTCATGGGCAAAAAGGATCATGCTCTTCTAATAGACTGCAGGTAAAATTAATTACTTCATAAAGATTATGTAATAAAATGGTACCTACTTATTAATGAAAAAAAAAAAATTCGTATTTTGAGATGAAACTTTATTTACATACGTAATTTCGTGTATTATTATCACCCTGTACAACAAAAAAACGTGTCCATGATAACATTACTTATTTTATAGATTGTACGTGTATATTTATGACATTATGTTTATATATGTACATATATTAAATACTTTTATGACGTGCCATTAAGTTCGTAACAGATATTTTAAAAATTACAACGTGCCTTATCTACTTAATAATAACTTAATACATTTTCTCTATCTATTTTATTTTTAACGACTAGTTTTCTTTATCTATAATAGTTTTAATTACTTAAATATATTATTAGCATTACTTGCTATTTATTTATTTCTTTATAGGATGGAAAAACCATAAATGAAAATTTTTACCTATTTTTTAGTAATGACTAAAACACGATGTAATAAATTTCATTTTTCATTTATTCTACAACTGTTAATAATAAAAACGATAAATAATATTTTCATGCACCTACATAAACTAATGTATTAAAAATTAAGGTCGGAAATTAAAAAAAAGAATTATTTTGTTCTTACCTCTCTCTCAGATCTATGACATCAACTTTAATTCCCTTAGCTGACCCTGACCTAGTGATATTGGTCACAAACTCGAACGTTAAACACGAACTAACCGGAAGTGAATATTCAACAAGGAAACAGCAATGTCAGCAGGCCGCCCTTCTACTTAAAAAGCTCAGTTTAAGGGACGCCACCCTCGCCGATATCGACTGTATGAAAATAAAATTAATATATTTTACAGTCGAGTCAAATCAGGAAGGCAAAGTCCTTAATAAATTATCGCATTTCAGAGGTGGAAAAGTAGTGAAATACCTGTCACATTCTTATTCAAATAGTTTATTGCGGGCTTCGCCTTCCGAACTTGACCCGACTATAAAAATGAAACTCACACACTCAATTTGTTTTGTTTGTGATAAATTATTTAAGACACGTTTAAAAGAAAAGGAACAAGATATAGTGAAGTAGCTTTCTCTCCCTCTCAGTCAAATAAATTATTGCCGACTTCGCCTTCCGAAACTGACTCAGCTAGAAAACTTAAATTCATGGTCTCAATTTGTTTTGTTTGTATTAAATAATTGAATTAAGAGATAAATTTAATTAGCATGAGGGACGAAACGATGTGGCGAAGTACCTTTCGCTCCGTCTCGATCAAACAATTTATTGCACACTTCGCCTTCCGAAACTGACCCAACCACAAATATAAAACTCATCACACTCTAAATTTATTTTACTTGAAATAAATTGCACTACAAGGCAGCTAAGTTTTAATATCGTAAGATGCAAATAATTTATTGTGGACTTCGCCTTCCGAAACTGACCCGACCACAACAATAAAACTCATCACTTTCTTTTTTTTTTGCTTTTGATAAATTATTGCACTAGAAGACAGCTAAGTTTAAACATCGTAAAATGCAATACAAAGTAGTAAATAGTTTTCTTTCAGTCAAATAAATAATTTTTGTGGACTTCGCCTTCCGAATTTGACCAACTACAAAAATAAACTCACAGTGATTAACTTGCTTTACAGATCTGAAGTCGATAGGAACAGATGAAGAAATTGTGAAGCGAATTCGTCACGTCGTCACGGAGATCGAAAGAACCGTTCAGGCCGCAGAAGCCCTCAAAGAGAAAGATTTCGTAAAATTCGGAAAATTAATGGTACAAAGTCACAACTCTTTGAGGGACGATTACGAAGTGTCTTGTCCCGAATTGGATACTTTGGTTGAATTGGCACTACAAGTGGATGGAGTTTTGGGAAGCAGGATGACCGGGGGTGGTTTTGGGGGCTGTACAGTTACATTGGTAAGAAAACTACAAAAAAAGGATTGTTGCACTTGTACAAGTAATAATAGTAATAAATGTAGACGAGACTTGGAAGCAAAATATTTATACATTCCATAAATTAAAAAGAAAAATAATTTGCAACAAAATATTTACTTTATTATTTAATATTTGCTATTAGATTATATGAAAAAAAGAATATTTTTTTATTTACAGGCTTACAAAAACGCTGTTGATGAAGTTATCCGTAATATTACAAAAAAATTTAAAGGAAAACCAACATTCTATATTTGTACTCCTAGAGATGGTGCCAAAATCCTCAGCTTGTAAAAAAAGGACAAAATTGTAGAAATATTGATGACAATATCGGGTAGGAACCTATTTTCCAATACAATAGCTAATACGTTTTGTACATAAATTAAATAAACATTAAATAAATCAAGTAAATGTAATAAATAAAACAATCGACTCTGCTTCTTTTTTGTGTGGTTATGTTTTTTGTCGTTTGTCTCCACGTGCAAGTAGGTATTAGGCGCATACACTATAAAAACAATTTTATTCATTCAATTATAACTTTCCAACTTTAAAAAAATGTTTCCATTTCAGGTTTTCATTTCAATTTCAAACTTAATAAAAAATTTAAATAAAGCGCTAAAAAGAATGGCCATTTTGAAAATTCAAACAGAAGCTTCACGCCTACTTTCATTAACATTTAATCGTCAATTTTTTGATAATTACACTTATGTCTTAAGTATTTCAATCTTTCGATAGTTACCTACCATTTATTATAAACAGTAATTATAATATAATAAATAATAAATAGGCAATAAAGCAATTTCCAGCACAAAAAACTTTAGATAATGTGATTGGTAGTCCTTTTTAACCAATAACAACAAAATATTCAAATTATCCGTTATTTTCAAAATTCAAATAGTTGGATAATTCCAAATCAACAGAAATTGAAAAACTAGTGTTAAATTATACTTTTCTTTATTGTAGACATAATAATAGTTGCTTATAACACAATTTGTAACCTATTGTATAGATATAATAAAATTGTTTAAGATATATTTACAATTTAAAATATAAATTATGTGTAAACTATCAGCTATTTTTAGTTCGCATTCTAATTTCTTGTAAGAGAAATGCCTTTAAGCTTGGGTCATCAATTTTTTCATTAATTTCTTTTATTGCTTTCTCTCCACCGTCTTTAAAATAGTTATTCAATTTTTCAGCATATTCTATCCAGACACAATTGGCACAACCAGACATACAACAAGTAGTTGGTGTATCAGGAAAATCATTTTCGTTTTCATTTTCTTTTCTTCCATCACTTTTCCCCTCTTTATTATTCATATCACTGGATATACGTAAAACGTTGAATTTAATTACCAGAACAGCTGTTGAAAGAAATTGTTCTCTTAATTCAATATTACATCGTAAAATAGGAAGAAACATTATAAGGGTATTTTTTTTATTAATTTTGAGAACGTTTTATTTACTTTAATCACACTATCTGTTCTTTTTCTCTCTTGTATAATCCAAAATGTAATTCGTGTAACGTTAATTTGAATTCATTTATTTTAAAATTAATTACAAATGGTGGCAAAAATTGAGTCAACAGGTTGAGCAAGATATTTTTGATAATTATTTTTTTTATAGTTGGCTTTATCCGATAATTATTGTAATTTTAAAAAACTGGCAATTTAAGAATTAAGGGGGTTATTGAGACACATGCAATTAATTATCAAAAAAGTGTGGTTATAACTCAATATTGACAAAATTGACAGGTCTTTAAGCCGAAATTCTATCTGAATAGGAAGTGCTGATTTTCCTAGTAATTGTGAATAAAATGTAGTCTAATTAAAAGCAAATATTCATTATTTATTCATAATTGTTCTGGCGTTTCTCTTTTTTTATTGTGTTTTTATTCCTTAAATAGAAAAGCAATGAGTGTGCAGTGTCACAGGAAGTTTTAGTGGTGTTTCAAAAAGAGAAAGTTAAGAAGCATGTCTTTATTTAAGGGTTTTCGAGTTCTTGAAAAATCAAAACCACCCAATCCTCATAGTATATTGCTTGAATTTCGATCAAGAGAAGAAACTTTGCTGTTTGAATCCAATGCAGTTGCTGTTCTCTGTAAGTTCAATATTTCAAATAGAGCATCTCAAGAAAACCTCATATTGCCTTAAAATTGTAGCTGCACAAGAAACCGAAGCTGTTAAAAAACAATATACAAAGATAGCTGATGCTTATGCAAGCTTGGGAGTCTTACAGCTAAATGCTGGAGAATCCAGCATCTTATATCTTGTAATGGTTACAGGTTGCTTTTCAGTAGGCAAAATTGGCGACTCGGAAATTTTTCGAATAACACAGACACAATTTATTCCTTTACATTACCAACAAAATGAAGATAGAATTGTTGAAGTAATTGATTATTTATCTATTACTTTGCAGCCTTACAAAATTTATGTTTGTGTATTTTAAGGTGAGGAAATTACTCAATTCTGGTACACTTTATTTCTCCTGGAGTCCTAATCGTGGAGCAGCATTAGATTTGACTCTGTGTGCTCAAAGAAGGCAAAAAACTTTGCAAACAGACAATAGATTCTTTTGGTAATATATATTAATAATATGAAAAGTTACATTTTGTTATTGGTTCTAATTTAAGGAACCGTATGCTGTATATACATCTTGTTCGTTTTGGAGTAGACTGTAATTCATGGCTTGTCCAGGCTATGTGTGGATCAGTTGAAATAAGAACAGTGTATGCTGGACACAGAAAGGCAACTGCAGCAGTCATTTCCAGGCTAAGCTGTGAAAGAGCAGGAACAAGGTAAAAATAATTTATTTACTGTAATGCATTATATTGTAGGTACAGTAAGTAAGCTCAATAAGAGCTCCATGATGGTAGAAAAGTTGCCATTTGTATACTTAGTTTACTGATTTATTTATTTATTCATTGCAGTTATTTATTTTTTAAAGGTTTAATGTTAGAGGAACTAATGATGAGGGCCATGTAGCAAATTTTGTTGAAACTGAACAAGTAATTTATTTGGATAATGAAATTGTTTCATATTTGCAAACACGAGGTTCAGTGCCTCTTTTCTGGGAGCAGCCAGGTGTTCAAGTACTACTTATTTTCATCAGATTGCTTCAAAATGAACTTACATTTGTGTTCTTAGGTTGGAGCCCACAAAGTCAAAATATCTCGAGGTTTTGAAGCATCTAAGGCAGCGTTTGATCGTCATATGCAAACTTTAAAGCAGCGCTATGGCAGTCAAGTAATAGTTAATTTATTGGGCACTAGTGTTATTGGTAGCAAAGAGGGGGAAGCTCTACTGAGTCACGAATTTCAGGTATGTAAATTTTTAATGTTATATTTAAAAACGTTTTTAAAAGAGATAAAAGATACTTTTTTCTAGAAACACCATAAAGAGTCTGCGCATGCAGATACTCCGCATATTGTGTTTGACTACCATCAGGAATGTAGGGGCGGTAATCAAACTAATTTAGCTAAACTTAAGGCAAGAGTAGAACAAAAAATGCAAGAATTCGGATTTTATCATGCACAAGGTCGAAACGTTTGCAGGTAAAATAGCTATAACATATTTTGTTTTATTAAATGCAAATTAATTTTTTTATTATCTCCTTTTCAGCTTACAAACTGGAACGATTCGTACTAACTGTCTAGACTGTTTAGATAGAACAAATTGCGTTCAAACATTCTTTGGTTTAGAGGTAAATAACTTACATAGATTAATAATTATTAAGCGTATTATAAACAGTTCATTATTAAATTGATTGATCAGGTATTAGCAAAACAATTGGTTGCAATGCAATTGGTTGATAAGAAACAAACAGTGACCCGATTCGAAGAAGTCTTTAAACAAATGTGGATAAATAATGGAAATGAAGTAAGCAAAATTTATGCAGGTACCGGAGCCATACAGGGAGGATCTAAGGTGTATTTTTAATCATAAAATTAAAAATTATTTGCTTTCTAAACGTTCTTTGAACTTTAGCTGATTGACGGAGCACGATCAGCAGCCAGAACAATTCAAAACAATCTCCTTGATAACTCAAAGCAAGAAGCCATTGATGTACTTTTAGTAGGGTCAACACTTGATAGTGAATTAGCGGACCGTGCTAGAACATTGCTACCCTACAACACATTGCATGGTAAGTACCAAAAAAAGATAGAAAAAAAGAAAGTCAAGTAAATTTTATCTGCAAACCCTAAACTGAAAAATTGATCCGCATTGTAGCACCTCCTCATGTACTACGTGAAATGTGTAATCTCTACAAAGAGTACACCTCTCCTATAACAGCTCGTGTGGCAGTTGGTACTTATAATGTTAATGGAGGAAAACATTTCCGCAGTGTAGTTTACAAAGACGTATCTTTATCCGATTGGTTATTAGACTCTCATCTTCTTAACGGGTCTAAACTCGTCAATGTATCTCACGAAGAGGTCGCTCAAATTCCTGTCGACATCTTCGCCGTTGGTTTCGAGGAAATCGTAGACCTAAACGCCGCCAATATTATGGCTGCCAGCAGTGAAAATGCTAAAAGTTGGGCTGAGGAATTACAAAAAGTCTTGTCACGCGATAAACCTTATGCTCTGCTTACATATCAACAGTTGGTGGGGGTTTGTTTGTACATTTACGTCAGACCAGAGCACGTACCATACATACGAGACGTTGCCATCGATTCAGTAAAGACTGGACTGGGGGGAGCAACTGGCAAGTTGAACAAGGGTGGCATAAAGAATGACAAAACAATAAAAATTGTGTTTTAGGTAATAAAGGAGCTGTCGCTATTCGATTTATATTTCATGCAACGACTGTGTGTTTTGTTTGTGCCCACTTTGCTGCTGGGCAATCACAGGTCAATGAAAGGAATGCAGATTACGCCGAAATTACCAGGCGAATTGCATTTCCAATGGTAAAATTTTCATTATATCATTTCATCATAAAAACAATTGTTCAAGTAATTAATCTTTAGAATATCACATTGTTTATTGTCGTAAACAGATTAAACAAAACAAAATTAATTTGAGATAGAAAGCATTAATACATAACATAAAAATTATAAACATCTATAACATTTGTCAATGAGAGGATCAAACAGTAATAAAAATCATAAAAAAAGTTTAATGTCTTCTAAGCTAATTCTTCGTGATAGGTTTTGATTTAAAAGTTTAATCCTATAGGAAATCTATTTGTATTTTTAAAATCATTGTAGGGTCGTTCCTTAAACTCCCACGAGTACGTGTTTTGGTGTGGAGATTTTAATTATCGAGTTGATATGGACAAAGAAGAGATGAAGGAATTAATTCGTCAGGGTGACTTAGAAACGGTCCTAGAATTCGATCAGTTAAAGGTACTTTTGGTTGTATATATTTAATGTAGCCCCTTCATATTATGACGTATGTATGTAGAAACAACGCGAAGCGGGAAATGTGTTCAAGAACTTCATAGAAGGCGATGTTACATTTCCACCAACTTATAAATATGACTTGTTCAGTGACGACTACGACACCAGCGAAAAATGTCGTGCTCCTGCATGGACTGATCGAGTGCTGTGGAAACGTCGACAAATGGGGTTAGAGAACTCTGGTCGTAACGACAACTGGTCTCCTGGTACCTTGGTGTACTATGGTCGTGCGGAGTTAAAACAGAGCGACCATAGACCAGTTATTGCTGTGATAGATATCGAAGCTTGCCAAGTCGATCCGGAAAGAAGGGATCAAATATTTTTCCAGGTAATAATTTTTCTTCTGGAAAGGTTCAATTTTTTTTACCAATGTTAGATCTTACGTTACACATCGTTGGAAACTTCTAAAAGGGCATTTTTACATTAGGTAATTGCCAACTTGGGACCTCCAGATGGAACTATTATAATCCATTGTGAGACTCCCCCCGAGAACGCAGATGGTACAGTGTTTGATGATAATTTAATGATGGTTTTGTTGAATGAGTTGTCTCATATTGGGGAGGTTATATTAGTAAGATTTGTAGCTGATACCATGTGGGTAACCTTTAGGGATGGTCAGTGTGCTCTTAGTGCAGCCGCGAAGAAGGTTGTACGGGTAATATACTCATAGCTCTCAAATGTCATGGAATTATTTTATTAAGCTTATTTAATTTTGCTGCAGGTATTGGACTATAATTTAACGATTTCTTTAAAAACCCCGAACTGGGTAAAGTTGGTGAAACAAGAAATTGATTTGTGTTCGAGTAACGCAGTTCCACTATATGAATCAAATTACACGTCAGATTACAATTGTAAGTTACAAATTAAAAAAGGTGTTTAAATAAACAATCTAATGGTGAATGGTTTTTAGGTCTAGGCATTCCAGAAGTTAATAAAAATGTACCTCCTCGTCCAACCCCTCCTGTTAGGCCTCCACCACCTCCTGGAAGCGCTCCTCTTACTCCAAAAAGGACCATTCCAGTGGTAAGTACAAGCTTTTATTCATGTTGTGAATCTTTACTTTGCATTATCTAATTTGAAAATTGGTTGGTATGAAAATAGGCGGGTGTAATTAGCATTCCTCCCAAAGAAGCAGCCCCTCCTCCTAAAAATCCTCCACCAGATTTACCACCAGAAGAAACTGGTATTTATGAAGAAATTAATGACGAAGACATTAGTCGCCCTGAACCGCAAAACCCTCCCCCTCCACCACCTCGACTTGAAAATAACGGGAGCCAGAGGGGGCCACCACCTGTGCCCGCGAGATCTGCCCCACCCCCTCCTTTACCTGCTCGACCACCACGTTAAAATTGTTATTTAATCAAATGAAATTAAAAATATGGAGAATTGAATATGTAGAATACTTGAGGGATGCTTCATAACAATTTTGTTTCTTAGTTCGAATTTTATTGATATTAGGTTGATATTCTCTATAGAAAAAAATATGTCTAAGTATATACAAAACATTTATTGATGCGAATTTAATTAGAAAAATTACCGGATGGTTAATGGAAGGGTTATTTCATATGAAAGTATTTTAAATTTAATGTTGCACTCCCTTTAATTGTTGATAGAATTATATAAAACATGCATGCAGATTTTGAACTTTTAATTTTAAAATTTTATGGCACAATATTTTACATTTTCCATTGATTCCTAAATTTTTCCTAAACTATAAAAAATAGAGAATTTTTTTTAAATTCAAGAAAGTTAGTACTGATAGCTAATAAGAGAAGGAAAAAAATCTGATTTCTTTTAAGTAAGAATCTACTAGTACTGTAAAGGAAAAGGAAGAAATACATTAAATTTAAAAGTGCTTTAAATAGGAAATACCCGTTGATTAATAATTAATTTTAACACGAACAAAAAGGCATCTCTGTAATTACGTTATAAAAACTGAATACCTAGTCAAATAGTCAACAAAATATTTGTCTTTATAGATACATACAAGTAGTATGGCTGTGGCTGTTAAGATAATTTTGCAATATAATTAGCGATTTTTTGTTTTCAATTTTTAGTTACATGAGTGTAATCTCATTTTTTTGCGGCTGATTAGGTTGCTAACAAAGTTATTAAATATTTAGGCTTATATTATGGCAAATGATCAATTATTTTTTAATATTTGTTGTACTTGTCGATTAATCGATAAAGCGATAACTAATTCATTAACAGTGCGGAAAATATAGATAGGAGAAAATAATTATTTCTTTTAACCAATTAAAATAAAATTAACTGTAAAAATTTTTACAGTAAAAAGAAAGTAATGTTGTAGTTGTGCAGATGATGGGGCTTTCTCTCTCTCCATCAAGTATTACGCTAAAAAGGGTGGAGAGGGAGGTAGGGAAGACCTTGTAGAACACTGAATAAGTGTATATTAGGTGGGGGGAAGAGATGTGAAGACACAAGGGTTGAAAGTGAAGATTGAAAATGATAATTATTATTTAACTAATGAAACCTTTACTCGTAGGTAAGGCAAATAGGGGAAGGGATAGAGATGGCTTTGTAGAACAATAAAAAAGTTTTTAGGTGAAAGCGAAAGGGGGAGGCGCAGGGGATGAGTGATATAATTCCGTCGTCTGCACAATTACCATGTTTTGTATATCAATACGTAATTTTTGTATTTTTTGTAATGTCTGTTCAAGTACTTTGCAAAACCATATTCCATTTTTTCCTATTCTTTATTCCTATTATGTACATTATTATTAATAATAAAATGTTTAGTTTTTAATCGTAGCTGCAAAGAACAATATTTTTATAGACTTGATACGGTTTTATTTTTGTTATTTATACGTTTATTTATTATTCACTTTAAGTGTAACTTTATTGCCATTATGTATTTATTAAAAAATACTATTCTATTAAAATTTAACAAGTATTAATTGTAAAAACTATCACATAGTAGTACATATTTTTGAATGAAAAAAGATAAGAGTTATTGATTGATTGTATAGTATAATTTTTTTTTAATGAATTAATAAATGTCTGTAGTCGAAAAAATACGCACGCATTAAACGTAAATAAACATGTAAAATGTTTCTATGTAAAACTGTTTAAAGCGTATCAAAAGAAGCATTATAATGGATATTTTAATGACATAATTATGTGCTATACTATCCACTTTATAATATATTAGATCAATAAAACCAGTGTATCATAGTCTATCCTTTCTTTTATTTGAGTTAAATTAAAACAATACTTTTCGTAAAACTGACTCAGTTTCGTGAACCTCTAGTAAAACCTCGTCGAAATATTTGAAAAGCTACAAATTAATCACTAGTCTATTTTTTAATACAGTTCATTAGTGGATAGATCTAGATTTCTATTGAGCTCATTAGTTTTGCCGTAAATGACGTCATGTGACATCACTGTAGTCAGTTTTTTGACTTCATCAAAAATGTTGTATGGGCACTAATCAAATGGTATTTGTTAAGGGCACGCAGGCCTATAACGTTATGTTGGTAAAGTAATTATTTCACAAAAAGAATAAATAAAATTCATTTAAATTTAAAAACTTCATCTATTTCTGAATGTGTTTTCATTATTTAATGCTTTTTATTGTTTTTAAAGCTACAATTATCGATTAATTTTAATTCTTAATTACTTTTCAACCAGATTGCACCTATTTAAAATATTTGTGGGTGGTTTTTAATAATTTCCTCAAAGTTTATCTGAATTAGGACTTTTTTTGTAACATAAAACAAAATCTTATCTACCACATGTTAATGTTTTTGTAATAGGAATTCACCAATTAAAAAGTTGTTACGATCCCTATAATTTCCTTTAAAGTTGAGAAATAATGAAAGAGAGAAATTGGTCAGTAGTTTTGAAAGTTTCTTATTATATATAAAGGATTAAACTCAAGATTTCTGTAAAAAACATTCACGTACATTACTTTTATTGATACCATTTATTAGAATACTTTATCAAATACAGTTTAGAAAATAATAATGAGTTTCGTATACATAGTCTAAATTAAACAGTACATTTTAATATACTCAATGTTGCTGCTCTAATTCGTGTAGCACACAACATTGTTTATCGATATTAAAGACCTTTGTTATCAGATCAAGAGCATCACTAGTCGAAGTGTTGCGATTTATACCGAAAGTACACGGACTTCAATTCGTCCTGTAGCATCATGTTGACCATGCAAATCATGAAGCTTTCGGAATGTTATTGTTCCGGTTGTTAATTATGTAATTATTGTGTAATAAGTGATAGACAATTTAACAGTAGACAAAAGATTTTATGATGTGATATGTGATGTGACCTATCTAAAAATTGGGAACTCATAATAGCAAGAATTTAGGATCAGGAGTCCAGGTAGGAAATTTTCCGACGTTTCTATGTGGCTTCTTGACCAATTTAGATTGTTTATTATCCACCATTTTATCGAAGATGGTAATTGAATTAACTTTTCAAAACTTTATCGCATAATCAAAGCAAAGTTAATTAGCGTTATTAAGGGGAAACTCAAAAAAAAATTAAATTAGGCGCAACTAAAAGCAACTTTTCATTATTAATTAAAAATTTTTTCTTTGTATCGGTAACATATAAATATGGTTGAATATTCCTTAAGGATCAATAATTCAATCAATAACATTTGATGGTGCACGCAGATGTAAGAACCTAAGTATTAAATTACTATAATTGTAAAAAATACTTCCTAAAAAGTATCCAAGTACAAATACAAGTACTCTCCTTCATAGAGTATTTAAATACAAATAATACATACTTTCATGGAA